ACCAGTTAAAAACAGATGAAGAAGACTACAAAGAAGATGAATTCTTTAGTGCAGAATCATTACAAATGAATACGCATAGTGAAGAGGAGGAAATTGTGAAGACCGACAGAAAGAAGAGGAATGATGAATATACATAGTGTGGCTAAAAAGCTTTAGAACTAAGCTCATAAAATAGAAAATATGGTAAAAAAATTGTTATTACTAATTATTTATTACTAATTATTCTACATATGACCTTCATAACGCTATACATCGTTCCGCCAGCTGCTCCAGAGCGTGCTAGAAATCCATTGCTGGAATGCTTCATAGCTCCCTCGTTGCATTATCTTGGATCGTTTTGATATCGTCGAATCGCTATCCTTTTAGCTTCAATTTCAGCTTTAGAATCAAAAAATAATCCGCCGATAAATCCAGCGAGTACGATGGACGGTGGGTGAAAGTGGGCGATGTCTGCGTCCACATCAGGCTCCAGATAAAATATCTGATGTTGGCCGATCGGTAGGATTTCGGGCCGCATTTTCAGTGGTTGGCCTCCGAATGAGAAAAACGGGGCTGGCATTAGTCAGCCTCATGCAGAACCTGAGGAGCCCCGGTTGACGAGCTCGCCGCCTGTATGTGGGAATGGTGACGTTTTCTAACTGGTGGTGCCCCAGTTAAGGACCACACAAGCGTCTGATGCATCAGGCGATGCAGTAGTCTCGGTGGTTGTGAAGGCAACGAGGTGTTACCGCACCACCTCTTACATGGTGGCGACGACCCTCGCCGATCTCCCCCCGGAGGAGTTGAAGCTCCTGGCAGAAGAGTGTTCAGTGATCTACTGGCGTGTCAAGGAGCTCCGCAGGGAGAGAAAGGCTATCACGATCAGGGTCGTGGCAGCTCTGAGATCCTAGGCCAGAGCTCGGATGATCGAGAAATGGTCCGACATATTGTCGAATCCCAGAAAAACTCGTTCTTAGAATATCCAAGCCGTTCAGCCAGCCTCACCGAGTGGGCGGCAATTGAAAAATGTTTAAAACCCTCTCCGCTCTCCCCTAATTTTGCAAGATCTGAATACACAGTTGCAAAGAGTATGAAATATACTACAACTTTCATATAAACCATTTTTGTATATGCCTCGTATTTTAAAAGATATACACTAAAAATGAAAATGGTTTTTTTCTTTTGGAAGATGGTTTCATCCCCTCAGACTGGAATTCCGCACGAACAAAAAATGGTTTTGCATTACGGGTGAACTACTTTACTTCCACATAAAGTTTCAGAATTTTTTAAATTTCCGTATTTCCTATGTTTCTTTATGAGTCGCGCAACCTCGAATGGTTGTGTGCTCTTCCAATCATTTATGTTGATATGCGCGCTCATTTGTTAGATGTCTATAATTAATAACACAATAACTATTGCGAATATCGCAAAACAAGTACAGTCTGTAAAGTAAGAGCGTGTACGGCATAAATGGCAGTTGGCTTCAAATATCGTCCTAGTTTTTTTTTAGCTGTATTGTGAGGCATATCTCAAGCACAAGCTTCGAGGAAAAAGAGTGTGCACTTTGAAGCAACTGACACAACAAATTCGTCTCATTTGGAGGTCTTTACCGAACGAATACGCAGTCAACTTAGTGGAAAGTATGCCTCGGAGATGCCAAGCAATTATCAATGCCGGTGGTGACTGGACTCATTATTAATGGTATAGTATTTTTCTTCTCATGGAGTACAACAAATCCATGTACTTAAAAATCATTAAAAATAAATTTTTCTACACATTAACCCGTACATGCTCTTACTTTACAGACTGTAGTGGAAAGTAGCCTCGGAGATGCCAGGCAATTATCAATGCCGGTGGTGACTGGACTCATTATTAATGGTATAGCGTTTTTCTTCTCATGGAGTACAACAAATCCATGTACTTAAAAATCATTAAAAATAAATTTTTCTACACATTAACCCGTACACGCTCTTACTTTACAGACTGTATGAAAACTTTTTATGTTTTATGTTTGTCTTAATCCGTTCGATGTTTTCATGAATTCCTTGTACTGAGTTATGGGACTGTACACGGTCCGGCTGAGGACTTTCGGCGGTCTTCGGTTAGTCGCTCGGCAGGTTTTGGTCGTGATCAGTCGAACGTTCGGCACCAGTCAATTCATCGATGTTAGAGCGATGTTTGATCTTATTTGACGGTGCCAAATTAGTCTTTCAGTAGAAGCTGTCAATGTTTGGATGATTTCATCCGCGGATGTTCAACGGACTTCTTTTCGGGGTTCTCTACGGTTATTCGACGGAACCCGGGCGTGGTCATTTCGAATTAATAACGAGTAGGCCGAGAACCGTTCATTACAAATTGAACGTCACTACGGAAAAACGGTAAGCTCTTATCGAAAGAATCATCGATTCATTTTTTAATGTCTAACACATTTCAAAACTGTCCTTTCAGATTATGTTTTCGGATATCGAAACAATCATAAAACACAACGTTTGATGAATAGGTCTGATGTTAGATTTCTATCGCAGCTCTAACAAAGTTTATATTTAAGTAGGATAATGTTACGTTGAAGCAAGATAATGATCGGGTATTGTCATATTGAAAGATGATCTTAAACTACATTCTAAAAATTTTTTAACCATTAGTGTGGTCTCTTACCAAAATAATTGTTAATTGCAGCATCCACTACTTATTGCGTAACATGATAATTTTTCACACCAAATATAGACAAAAGACATAGATGTTGCATTTTAATGATTGCATCTTGATTGATTAACGAAGATTTATTCACAAAAGCAGTTCGCTATTTATCAATTTTTATCCAAAATAAACATTATACAGGGTGTTTGATAGCTGATCATGACGAAAGTTGGAGATAGATTGGGTGTAGCCGAGAAGAAAAGTCATGTACCATAATATCAAATTGGCAATAGTTATCGAGTTATTAATTAAAACATGTGAGCTAATGAAAGCCCTCCACTCTCTACGCGCTCGTTGGTTCACATGTTTTAATTAATAACTCGATAACTATTGCCAATTTGACATTATGGTACATGACTTTTCTTCTCGGCTACCCAATCTATCTCCAACTTTCGTCTGCATGATCAGCTATCAAACACCCTGTATATAAAAAAATCCACCGGAAACGATTATTGAGTATTCCAACCACCTATCAAAACACAAGAGATATATACTACTCAAAACAATTAGGAGAGTTCTTTAACCCTTTAACTGCTACGGTCAAGATAACTCGAGTGTGGAAAAAAATGGCGGCCTTGCTCGAGTTTACTTGATTTGGACTTTCAATATGTGTGGTATTGCGTGTAATATTTTTTTAAAATTTAAAAATGTAAATTTGTGAAAATCTGGATCATCAGCAAATTATAAAATATTTTATAATTGTAAAAATAACTCAGCAAAGAGGTCATACTGGTCATTTAACATCTCAGCAGTTAAAGGGTTAAAACTTGCAAAATTTGATGGTTTTTATGAAGCCATATTTCAGCTTAGGGAGGTCGAAGAATAATGTTCCAGAGCGCATTTTACCGGGTGAAGCCTCGACTTTAAAGAGGCTATGGTTTTATTATTCGTTTCATCGAACTGTTTTTCTTGTGAGGCTTAAAATCAGATCGTGAAAAAATTGTGGAAATTTCATGATTTTGTAGCCATACACGAATGAAGCAGGGATGGAAATAAAAATGGCACCACACTCGCTTTGAAGTGAGAAACTTGCTCTTTAAAACGCCGCAAGGAACATTGGTCATACCTTGGAGCCGAGTTGTCGCATTTCAAAGTCATCCCTGCATTTTGCAAGATTTTTAGCAACACCGCCGGTTGCGTGCGTGTGTCTGCATGTGTGTGCGTGTGTGTATGTGTGTGTGTCAGCAGAAATAAGGACCCTCTTCTATTAAAGCGATTATGTGCGCTACTTCATTTTCGCTAAGATGTCTCAGTTTTATGTAAATGTATGTAAATTGTGCTACTTAAGGTCAATTACCTGAAAACAAGTAAAAGGAAACTTTTACACTAGTAAACTTGCATCACATCAACTCGCAAGTCTGTAATAGACTCTAATGCGAGAAACACAATTTATGTATCTACATTGTACGTATGCATGTATAAAAATGAGACATCTTAGCGAAAATGAAGTGGCGCAAATAATCGCTTTAATAGAAAAGGGTCCTTATCTCTGCTGACACACACACACACACACACACACACACACACACACACACACACACACACACACACACACACACACACACAAACACACACACACACAAACACACACACACACACAAACACACACACACTTCATATTAACGTACACATACATCATACACATGATGTGCAAAATCCGACCGAGCAACCTTTTTTTTGTTCATGCAGAGGAAATCCATCATGGATACCCCCGCCCCCTTGGGGGGCGGGGGTTATGTCGGACTCTTACCAACTAAAACCCCTGCGGGATGTCTACCTGTCGGACCGTGAGGAGGGGAGTTAGGGGAACTGCTTCCGCATTCCCTCCCCAACCCCCTGGCGACCGAGCAACCTCCCCGTGGTGCACATCGGATAACGCGAATGCCGGCGGTGTTGCTAAAAATCTTGCAAAATGCAAGGGTGACTTTGAAATGCGACAATTCGGCTCCAAGGTGTGATAGGACAATGTTCCTCATGGCGTTTTAAAGGGCAAGTTTCCCATTTCAAAACGAGTGTAGTGCCATTTTTATTTCCATCCCTGCTTTATTCGTGTATGGCTACAAAATCATGAAATTTCCACAATTTTTTCACGACTTGATTTTAAGCCTCACAAGAAAAACAGTTCGATGAAACGAATAATAAAACCATAGCCTCTTTAAAGTTGAGGCTTCACCCGGTAAAATGCGCTCTGGAACATTGTTCTACGATCTCTCCAAGCTGAAATATGACTTCGTAAAAACTATCAAGTTTTACAAATTTTAAAGCGCCCCCTAATTGTTTTGAGTAGTGTATAATCTAATAAATAAATGTTTTTATATAAATACCTGTGACAATGGCTAGCTAAAACATCGTCAAAATTTGTACGACTTTTCTGTAGTGAGAGATATTTCTTTTCTGAAACCAAAAAATTCCATATATTATTTTCAACACATATGGTTATTTTTTCAGTATCTATAGAAATAGAGGAGATAGGTTGCCTCTAATTAATTTTTTCAAAACAGCGGCTGTGTCATATGATGTCATGCCTATGTTACGAAGGAAGTGGTTGGGTGGGAGTAATCAAAAATTAAATATCCATTAATTAAAAATTAAATATTCATTAATATCTCCTCTTCAGGAATTTTACCTCTACGCTCACACAGTCTTTCTAGACTGTTCTGGAATGTGTTCAAGGCTTTTTAAGAGAAGGAATTCAAGAGAGAAGAAAAAGAACAAATTCTTTCGTTAATTAGACAATTCATTATTCGATAGAGTAATTCAACATAGTACAATAGATGTTTATTGTCGTCCGATACAAATTCAATGTGATGCCATAATTGTTTATTGACTATTTTGCAATACAATATGCTACAATAAAGTATGCTACAAATGTTATAATAAATGCATTCATTTTACAAAACATTATTCTTTCATATTCATATTATTTCATATTACTTTCATATTCCAAAAATCGTGTGAATTGTTGAATCCCAACCATTTTACATTAATCTTATCATTCTGCCTACGCACCGCCTTTTCTATCAAGTATATCAAGATTAGTCACATGATGTAGTTTGTATTTGTAGAATCCCTCGGCAACAAGTTTTCTGTGAGAATCTTCAAATAGATAACAGGATCAATTGTCAGTTACTGCACTTTGACAGTTATAAATATTTCCATGATTTAATTCGGTGTGTAATCTTCTGTAAAGACTGTCTTGAATTTGCTCACGTATCCAATTGGGAGCATATAATAGGGGAAACTGAGGATATTTGATACACGGAGCACGTTGATACATTTCAAATTATTGCAAAATGACAAACGGTAAAATTGCAAATAAATTTAGTAATTCTGCAAAAACATTGCGGTCATTGTAATAAGTTATTTCAGGTTAACTAGCGTATTTTCAAAAACAAAAAACATTTCTAATTTCTGATAATCAAAAGTAAAATAAATCAGACATATACAGGATGTCCCATTTTAATGTTCCACTCCAAATAGCTTTTCAGTATTCAAGTTTCAAGGAAAATGTTCCCGTCGGGTTCAGCCGACGGCGATCGCGCGGTATCGCACAGCGCTGTGCGCGAAGGGCGCCAGTACGCGATCTGAATCGTTATAGGAATAGGAGTGTAGAAAGCCGAGCGAGTATGACGACACACAAAATAAGTTTATTCTATTGTACAAAGAAATAGCCGTACACGGCGGCGAACAATCGAGCGATCAAGCGGCACGAAAGATGGAGACAATTGCAAATCGGGCAATGCAAGCCACGCAAAGGAATGCACGTTAAACGCGGCGAGTGCTCGATGTACCAGTGGATACGCGATCGAGCGTCGGAGAGTGGCGTGCGACCCAGGCGCAAAGAACAGAGCAACTTCCCGAAATCGCAACCGAGTGCAACGATGCAGCCACGACGAAGTAATAGCACCGATCGTGCGGACAGAAAACTTAGTGAAGATCGCGCTCGCTCTATGAAATCGAAAGTAAAAGACCGCTCGGTAGAAAGAACAAAAGCGCAGAGAGTGCGATGAAATCTCGGTCTCAATTATATCCTTTTTTTAGCTTGAGCTGGCAGATAAGGATTGGCTGAAATTCGTTGGCCGTAACACGCCGTGATCGCATGCTCGGGGTCTGCCCGACATACACAGCAAATACGCGGCAATAAACATTGTTTCGAGCGCTCCTCGCCGGGGATCCCGTGGCCCAACGTTCGGTGACGAGATCCCCGCTAACCGAGCACGCATAGATCACGCGCAAGCTTCGTGATGTCAAGGCTAGCAGAATATTTGAATTCTTCTAGAAAACTTCTGTGCACGCTATGATCCCGAACAGGAAATGATCTGAATAAAAGTTGTAGGGAAAAAGTTGTAGGGGCTACCTTATGATGACCTTGACTTTGATCTTGACCTCGACCTTGAAGGTCATTTGAAGGTGAACTTGCGTTTTTAAATGGGAACCTTTATTTTTTATTACACTGTTTTTTGTTACTAGTTAATTTGAACAACTTTTGTCTAAAATATTTTTTTATTTATCTAATATTTTTTAAGATATTTGAAAAAAACTTGATAACTTTCAATATTTAACTTACGATATCTCGCTAACTATTTGTCGGAAGAAAAGTGGTACTAGACTTTCTTGCTTTATTTAGTCTCAAGAATATATTGTTACAATAGCGCCTTGACTTTTGTTAATTTACTTATTTTTGGGAATTTCAAAATCATCAAATTAACAAAAATATACGCGTCGTCAAATGAACTTCTGTGAGTTCATGAAGAACCCAAATATCGAGCTTGCTTACATATCCCAGCTTCTTCAGGTGATCGTGAACGCTTGAACGGTGAATGTTTAATGTTTCTGCAATCTCTCATGTTGTGTAACATGGGTTTGACTCGATCGATGCCTTTATTTTGTCGTCAGTAACCTCAGTGGGCCTCCCTGACCGAGGAGCATTGTTGAGATCAAAATCACCAGCACAGAATTTCGTGAGCCATTATTGGCACTGACGTTCTCGTAGAGCATTGTCACCGTAAACTTTACGCAACTTTTCACAAGTTTGACGCGCGTTCTTCCCTTTACGGAAGTAAAACAGTAAAATATGGCGAAAATGCATAGTTTGGTCTTCCATTTTCAACTTGTAAAATCTCCAAAACACAACCAACTCAATCTTTTTTTAGAATGAAGCTGGAACTGTCAGCTGTCAAATGACATAGCAATAATATAGATACGAATGACTCTAGTATTTCCAAAAATAAACTAGTGTCATCTGTTGCGTCATGACTTTTCCGACAACCCAATAGTACTATTAGCCATGAAAAAAAGTTTGAAATTCGAGGTCCAAAAAATGGGCGAAACTTGCCATCACATTTTTTAGAAAAACTACAAAATAAGATCTTTATTTTCTTTAATATTGTCGCATTGTATTGTTTTAAAGATTCTTTAATAAGAGTCTAAAGAAAGACATAAGAGCGGTTTTGGCAAATCCTTCGAAAGAGAAAGATATATTCGTTATCTCTCTTTTGAACCTTTCCTTTTCTGACACGCATTCTGTTCACGCATAAGTTATAGGCAGTCTACGCTGTTTTGACAAGGGGAAATACATGGAAGTGTCTCCCTCCAATTTTGATAAGCTTAAACGTAAATACAGATCACACAAATACAGATCATCCATGTGTTTATTTATGTTTCTTTTGGTTAACATCAAGTATGTACTTTAAAGTCTTTTTTGTTTTTGTTGTATCGCGAACGCAACTTTGTGTCAATGGAGTTCAATCATGAATGAAATCACTAAAGGTTTAAATGCTTATAACTTTTGATAGAAGCATTTTCCAAAACAAATGTTTCAGATAAAATTTACTTGCTTTTTCCCGTAGGATCCAAATATGCAACATTTTATAGGGGGTTCTATTTAAAATTATAAAGTTACCCCGTCACCCCTTAAAGGGGAAGCAGGGGCGGCTTTACGTTTATGTAGTTAGAGAAGTCTCTCGAATACATAAAACTTCCTTATGAACAATTTTATGATTTGATAAATATTCTTAAAAATATGGACTTGTGCACTTTACGTAGGCCACCCTACATACCGGGTGTTTCAGATCACCCGGGTCACCCGATTTTTTCGTTAAGATGACATTTTAGAAAAAAATATTTCAGACAAAAGTTGTAGGGCTCCAAAGGATCTATTTACTGACGTTATGAATTTGACCTTGGGATAACCTTAAAAAGTCCAGTCAAGATCAATATAAAAATCTGAAATGGATACCCCAATTTTTTATTACATAATATTTTTCTAGCAATTAATTCGAACTTTTGTCTGAAACATTTTTTTATTTACCTAATGTTTTGGGATATTTAAGGAAAATTTGATAACTTATTCGATATTTAACTCACGATATCTCGCTAACTATTTGTCAGAAGAAAAAGTGGTATTAGACTTTCTTGCTCTATTTAGTCTCAAGAATATATTGTTACAATAGTGTACAGAATTTAGTTAATTTGATAATTTGGAAATCTCAAAACAAATAAATAGTTAGCGACATATCGTGAGTTAAATATTGAAAAAGTTATCAAGTTTTCCTTAAATATCTCAAAACATTAGGTAAATAAAAAAATGTTTCAGTTCAAATTAATTGGTAGAAAAAGATGATGTAATAAAAAATTAGGGTATCCATTTAAGATTTTTATATTGATCTTGACTGGACTTTTCAACGTTATCTCAAGATTTAGGACGCGGCGTAGCACACGCTGGAGTTTTGTCTAGCGTGGGACCGGCAGCGCCGTGACTTCTGCTGGGCAATCGGTTGACGGAACCTGGACATCTCCCTCCCGGCTATTGTAGGGGCCATGGTTGGGAGGGAGCAGGTTTGGGAAGCGGCGGTCTCCTTTGCCGAGGACGTGATGTCCCGGAAGGAGACTGCCGAGCTGCAACATCGTCCCCGTCGAATCCCACGGCAGAGGCGGCGGCACGCGCCAGAGGGGGTAGCGACTCTGAGGGAACGTCGAGCGGGGATCAGCCTCCTCTTCCGAAGAGGAAGAGGCTGCCTCGCCCACCCCCCAGAGCTCGTCACCGTATGCAAGCAAGGAGGCATAGGTTCTCCGCGCGTCGGTAAGGGGTAGACAAGGGGAGTGGGTAATTCGGTTAAGGCCGGGTCCCACTCCCCCCTCCAAGTGCGGGGAAGGGCTAGGAGAGAGGGTGAGTGTCTTTTCTCTCCATAATTGAGACCAGGAGGCCAACCCGACCGGGAAACCAGTCGGGGCATTGCGCCCACTCCCAAAAGAAGGGCGCGGCATTAGGGCGAGGGGCTCCTAGTAGAGCCCCAGGGCCGGAGTGTCTGGGAGGGAATGTCGACGTAGTTCCCCCGGATACCTTACTCCAGTCCGACTGGTAGACACCCCGGTGGGGTTTTAGTCGATAAGAGTTTGACATAACCCCCGCCTTCCCCAAGGGGCGGGGGTATCCATGTGGATTTCCCCACACGTGATAACAAAAAAAGGTTATCCCAAGGTCAAATTTATAGCGTTAGTAAATAGATCCTTTAAAGCCTTACAGCTTTTGTCTGAAATACTTTTCTCTAAAATGTCGCGTTAACGAAAAAATCGGGTGACCCGGGTGATCTGAAACACCCGGTATATACCAAGTTTTCCAAAAGTAACGGTCCTTCCCCCCTATCTCGGAATCTATGCATTGTAGGAAAAAATGAACCGAAAGGTTTTAGGGTTCATAAAGTTCTGTTTTTTGTGACCTCAAATTTGACCTTGACTTCGACCTTGAAAGTCATTTGAAGGTCAACTTGCGTTTTTTAAAAGCAAGTTAAACGGGAACCCCTATTTTTTATTATACTGTTTTTCCTACCAATTAATTTGAACAACTGTTGTCTAAACCATTTTTTTATTTGCCTAATATTCTCTGAGATATTTGAGGAAAACTTGATAACTTTTTCAATATTTAACTTACAATAACTATTCTCTCGCTAACTATTTGTCGGAAGAAAAAGTAGTACTAGATTTTCTTGCTTTATTTAGTCTCAAGAATATATTACAATAGCGTTACCTGACATTTGTTTACTTACTGACTTTTGGAAATTTCAAAATCATCAAATTAACAAAAATCAGGACACGACTGTAACAATTCTTGAGACTAAATAAAGCAAGAAAGTCTAGTACCACTTTTTATTCCGACAAATAGCGAAATATCATAAGTTAAATATTGAAAAAGTTATCAAGTTTTCCTCAAATATCTCAAAAAATATTAGGTAAATAAAAAAATGTTTTAAACAAAAGTTATTCAAATTAATTGGTAGAAAAGAACAATGTATTAAAAAATAGGGATTCCCATTTAAAAAACGCAAGTTCACCTTCAAATGACCTTCAAGGTCGAGGTCAAGGTCAAATTTGAGGTCACAAGAAAACAGAACTTTATGAACCCTAAAACTTTTGTTTGGGGTCATTTTTCCGTATAATACATAGACTCTGAGATAGGAAGAGGGGTTCGTTATTTTTGGAAAACCTGGTATATTGTTTTACATTTAAATTATACGGACATAATTTATAATTTATAAATAATAATTTATAATTTATAATTTATAATTATAATTAATAATTTATAAGTAGTAATTTATAATTTATAACTTATAATTTATAAGTAGAAGTGGTACCACATGAGCAAAATGTTCAGTAACGTATGCCAGCGTTTACCCGCTTTGTTACGCAAATGACGAATATTTATTTACACCTTTTGAATGTACAGGGTTTTTCAATTGGTGCGGGTCGGTGTTGGCAGCCTGTGGCGGCCATGTTGTTTTAGCGGCGTCTGACTAACCTGTTGTTTATTATTCAGTGACTGATGCCAAATCACCATGACAAGTTACACGATTGAGCAGCACGTTCAAATGATAAAACTTTATTATCAAAATGAGTGTTCGTTAGTGCAAACGTTGCGCGCGTTGCGCCCATTTTACGGCAGACGCGGTGGCCCTTCAAAGTCGACTCTCCAACGTTTGGTGGCCAAATTCGAGACGACCGGTTCGGTAAACGATCAGCCAACACCTGTACGTCAAAGAAACGCCAGATCGACCGAGAACATCGCCGCTGTAAGTGAAAGTGTGCAGGAGAACTCGAGGCAGTCAATTCCTCGCCGTGCACAAGAACTCGGCCTTTCGCAGACTTCAACTTGGCGAATTTTGCGTCGGGACTTGGGCCTGCACCCGTACAAGATCCAACTGGCCCAGGAGCTCAAAGTTAATGACCATAGACAACGCCGTTTGTTCGCTGATTGGGCTTCGGAGCATTTGGAAGAGGACCCCAATTTTGGCCGAAAAATCATCTTTAGCGACGAGGCGCATTTTGGGATGAATGGCTATGTTAACAAGCATAATTGCCGTATATGGCACGACGCCAACCCACACGAGGTTCAACAGGTAGCAATGCATCCACAAAAAGTTACTGTTTGGTGCGGATTTTGGGCCGGCGGCGTCATTAGTCCGTACTTTTTCAAAAACGACGTTGGTGAGGCCATCACCGTCAATGGCGAGCGCTACAGAACGATGATAACCAATTTCTTTTAGCCCAAATTGAACGATATGGACGTGGACGACATATGGTTCCAGCAAGACGGCGCTACGTGTCACACAGCGGACGCCACGATGGACATTCTGCATGAACGATTTGAAGGTATGGTTATGTTTCGCAGAGGTGACGTGAATTGGCCACCATGATTGTGCGATTTGACCACGCTAGACTTTTTCTTGTGGGGTTTTCTGAAGTCGCAGGCCAATAAGCCGCAATCGACCGATGCCCTTAAAGTTAACATAACCCAGGCCATCGCTCAAATTCAGCCGGATCTATGCGGCAGAATCATTGAAAATTAGACCACTCGGATCCGTGCCATCGTGAGAAGCCGCGGCGGACATTTGAACGATGTTATATTCCACACGTAATGGCATACATGGGCCTTTCAAATAAAAAAAGAATTTCGTTAATACGTCACACACAGCTTGTTTTATTCTATTGCAACATCGACCCGTCCTTATTGAAAAACCCTTTATTATTAAAATATTAATTAAATTACAATATTAATTAAATTACAATTGTATTAAAAATATTATTCACATTATAAATTTTTGTTTATGTTTATAAGCTTTTACATACCTGACGAATGACTTTCTGTAGTGCATGTTCGCAATTGACCAGTCTTTTTCAATCGTGCTGTTTTTATTTCTTCCCTGTCGAATAATGCCTTACGTCCTTCGCCTACAACCAAACAATTTTCTTATTAGTTATTTTATTTTTATATTATTGTGACTACACGTCACATTTATCAATTTATATTAATTATATATATGTATATATCGGTGTCCGTCGGTCATTATCGTAGACGACGATCATAAACAAAAGATGATCACCGTATCTTGCGACCCGTATGTATCTGACGCATACGTCTTCAGCCGCATGAAATTGTTTGACACGCATTGTGCTCCTCCGCGACAAGAAATGAAATTCACTCTAGAGGAATACGCCAATATAATTGTTGTCTACAGGCTAGTGGGAGAAAATGCGCATGCCGCAGCTTGCATCTATGCGGAACAATTTTCTGGACGTGCAAGATATCCGTCGAGAAAAGTGATTTTATGTACAATGCAAAAATTATGTGAGACTGGGTATTTAGTGCATAACTATAAAGCACAGCTAGTGCATTAGTGCATCTTGCCCTTGAAGACGAGGAAAGGTTCTTGTATGTTGACTTGCCTCATGTAATCATCTGATTGTCATTCTTACGAATATTCATGATGAGAAGTAAGTCATTTGTCAGGTTTATTGTGTGTGTGTCTGTGTGTCTGTACCCTACTTCTATCCTGCCTACCGTTCCCTGCGTGCTCATTGACCCAGACGTCTTAATTAATAACTTAACTATTACGATTTTGGCAAAATGGTATATGATATTTCTTCTTAGTTTAACCTAATTAATCTACATAATTTTTCTTTTTTAAAACATCCCGGACACCCTTCATATGTACATACAGGATGTATAAAAAGTATCGGCACGGTGAAATATCACAAAAACTAAACATTTTAGAAAAAAAACATTTCAAATAAAAATTATAGGGTTTCAAAAGATCTATTTACTGACAATATGAGTTTGACCTTGGGTGGCGTCGCCAAGGTCAGGACAAGGTCACCTTGAATTTTTTAAATGGGACCTCCTATTTTTTATTGCATATTCTTGTAGCCCTTCAGACCTTTTCAAAGCACTATAACTTTTTCTACTTTGAATATGCGGTTTCGAAATTATTGAGCTTTTTATGATAAGATGTCCAGCCAACCAAGGCAAGATCAAAGAAGTATCCAGCCAGCCGAGGCAAGATCCTTACAAAAGCGTTTGAGAATAATGTTAATCTCTAAAAAAAAAAAGTAAAATATAACGAATAAGCTAGAAAACAAAAAGATTTATCCAATAAACAGAAATTTGTATTAATTAGATAACAAAATCGATAACTCAATTAAAGAAAGAAAAATTAGTATGAAATATCATTTATCTTTTCCGTATGAAACAACGCATATCACATACAAGTAATGTGTTCTACTTCAAGTCAAATTCATTGCAATTGATTTGAAATGATTAGAAGGTGAATTTTAGTGCTGTTATAAATTTAGTACATTAGTATTACTTTTTAATAATACATATGTCTGGGGACTTGCTTAGATGGCGTACGAGTTGCGTATGGTTGCGTGAGTTTGAGAGAGAGAGAAAAATAGAGATTGTAAAATAAGTAAGATAGGAGAGTAAAGTAGGAAGGTAGGAAAAGAAGCAGAAGGAGGTAAGATAGCGATAAGAATAAAGGCGGATAGAAGGAATAAGGAAAAAATAGAGAAGATGTAACGGCACAAAATTTTCGTGTCATTACGCTGACTGCCGCCGAACATCACGCGGCAGTCAGTTGAGTGCGTAACCCCCGACCCGCGCTGTCACCGCGCCTTACTCAGCGCTCGCCCGAGCCTAGCCGAACACCCGGCAGCGACGCTCGGGAACGATCGGCCGCCGAGCCGAGCTCGCGGCGCCGTCGGGAAAAAAAATCCTCGGCGAGCGCCGCATAATCACGATTCATTCCGATCAGGGTACCTATTATTGAACCCGTCGGAATCGATTCCGACAGGAATAATTCCGTTTATCGACGGTTACCTTATTATGGACAGTCGGATTGTTTACGAGTCGATCGGAAACTTTCCGACACCTCGTGAAGAAGCGGAAAGTCAATTCCGACCGAAATCTCGTTAAGGAAAGCACGAAATGCAGGCATAACTAGAGGTGCGTTCGGAAACGTCACCCGGGTGTTCTCCCTTCTCTGTATCTTATTAATGTAAATAAAATATATTATCTTTTGCATTATAGGTGATGCTCTCGACGTTACAAACATCTATTTTAATTAAGAATTTTAAATATAATATTTCCTTGTTTCCTCGGTAATACCTAATTTCTATTATGGCTTCGATTGTCACTTAAAATATCTTGAATATTTTTAGCGTAAAATATTTCACTTACTTTATCTGTCATTTTGCCGACACTTTCTTTTTATAAGTATTTATAACCCTATATTTCCTTTCAATCTTCAAACATTCAATCGTTCAATAAATGGCTGTGCGCTGGATAACCCTAGGCTGACATCAATCCCTAGGTTGATACGAGGATATTCGAGAAGTTAATGATTATGAAGGTAAAAGGTAATTTTCCTTGCACTGAGATTGGTCGAAATTATTGATTACACTCATTCTTCTCGTCTCACTTAATTCCGACTACAACATGGGAACAGCCGATTCCACTGGAACCCATAATAGTATAAACGCATGAGCGGAATCGCGATCGGAAATTGGCCAGTCGGAATCTCGCGTTTCCGAACGGAATCGTGAAAAGTTCCATAATAGGTACCCAGATTCGGAATTATCACCGATTAATATCCGGAAAAAACCGAAGTTAAGAAATCCCGGGTATATAATCCCGGCAGATTTTTGACGAGAGAGAGTCTTCAGAGTTCTGTCTCAACGGACCGTTCTTCCTCAGAAAGGGTCAGAGAAATCTACCGAGAAGCTCCTGCAGATCACGTAAAATCTACCAGGCCGCCATCGTCGGCGATTACGATTATCTTTTGCGATATAGAGATCGAACGGCGAGTTTGTCGTTGCTCCGGTGTGTTTTCCGGAACGATCTCCCGTTCTTGTGCCGTCTTTTGCGATATAAAGATCGAACGGCGAGTTTGTCGTTGCTCCAGTGGGTTTGCCGGAACGCTCCCGTAATTACATATTTTTTTTCGCTCTACATCATATAGGATTCCGGAGAGGCAAGGGCACGACGGCGTAGGACCTCACCCCATCGACCGTAAGCTTTGGTCACACGGCCGGCCATCGGCGCCTGCTGCCCTGCGATCCGAAACCCATCGTATCCGGTAATCATACAAGAAAACCCACGGCGTCTCGCTCTCCTCATAAAGGAGATAAAGATATTCATCTTGATGTACGCTTCGCCTGTGGGAGATTCGGCTGGATAAATAAAGAAACACGCGTTTTGTTCTTGCACTTCGCTTCACCGGCACGATCCTACACTTAGACGCCACGTGAGAGATAACGCGACGTGACGCGACGCGTTTTTAAACCCGTCGTTTTTACGACCCGTCGTCGTGGTTCGTACCGAAGGCACGGCCTTTTAAAATCTTGCCGAATACACGAGCAACGCGTGTCTCGGATTCCCCGCTTCGGGGAACCGTTCGATTCTCCGTGGCGTTTAGCTATAGACCGAACTACAGTTAATTTGTGTCTGCATATTTATTTTATGTACGCCTTGCACGTTCCGACGCCCGGAACATTATTTAATTGTCCAGCGAGTAAATTACTCGCTCGCGTCTGCGACCACTCTTAGTCACAGCGACGATAGCGAAACAAAGTCGTGCGACAAAAACAACACCCAAACATTGGGACACCGTGCCATAACACGCGGTCACTACGTGTGCCGAGAGAAGACGAATAAAGATTCATTTTCTACACACACATCAACACGATTATTGACACGCACACCTTCTCCCAAAAATCTTTCCTGCGCTTGAATCGCAGCAAATGATCCGACGCGCAGGGTCGGATCAACTCGAAAACCGAGCCTGGAGGCGCGACCGTTACAAAGGGGCAGAATAGGAAGTGAGTAGTGTGGAGAGGTTAGGTAGACGGAGCGGAGATATGAGTACAGGGAGAGGAGGAAAGAAGGTAAGGGGAGGCAAGGGAGGAGTGGATGAAAAGCAAGGTAAATTGGTGATAGAGAAAGGAGATCAAGAGAGGAAGGTGAGTTTCAGGGGTACGCATGGATTAGGAGACGAGGAGGTTAGAGAGGAGATAAGGAAGGAGATAAGAAAGGAGTTGAGACAGGTAATAACGGAATGGAAGAAGGAGATGGAGAGTAGGATGAAGGAATTAGAAGATAGATTGATAATTGCGGAAAGATTTATAGAAGAAAGCAAGGAGAGATGAGTGAAAGAGAAGGAGAAAATAGAGAGGAATGGGAAAGTAAGGCGGCGTCTAGTAGGTTAAGCAGCAGAACGAGATTGAGTAGTAGGTATGGTTCGATAAGAAGTGTGGATAGGTTAAGTGAATGCCTGAATGAAAGGGAAATAGGAAAGATAAAGAAATTAGTGCTAGAAAAGAAAAAGGAGGAGAGGAGAGGTAATGTTGTAGTAAAAGGGTGGGAGATAGGGGACAGAATAACGAATGGAAAGGCAAAGGAATTTATAAAAAAAGAATTGGATGTGGAAATAAAAGTGAAGAGATGTAGAATAAGTGGGAAAGTGGTAGTGGTAAGTCTGGAGGAAGAGGAGATGAAGAGGGAGATAATGAGAAATAAGAGGAAACTGAAAGGTAAAAGTATTTTTATTGAGAACGATTTGACGTGGGAGGAAAGAAAGGTACAAGAGAAAATGGGCAAATGGGTGAGGGAGGAGAGGAGGAAAGGAAAGACGGTGAAAATGGGTTTTGCGAGAGTGATGATTGATGGAAATTGGAAAAAATGGGAGGAAATAGAAGAAGAAATAATTAGAAGAAAAGGAAGGGACAGAGATAGGGAATTGAGAATTAAAGGAAAGGGAGATGAAAGAAGCATTAAGGGAGGAAGAGGATAGGAGAAGAGAAAAGGAGGAAAGAGATGGAGAGAGAAGAATAGGAGAGAGAGAAGAGGGGGGTAGAGAGGAGAGATTAGAAGAAAGAGAGGAAGAAAGAAAGGG